TTAATTTTATTTATGGTGAAAACATTCAAAAATCTTTCTTCTAGCTTTTGAGATATATAGCACCTTTTAATTATCCATGGTAACCCTATTGCAATAACACACCAAAATGTCTCATTGCTGAACCTTCCCCATTCTTCCCTCCCCAATTTCTTGTAATATATATATATATATATATATATATACCCCTTTAGGTTACTTCTGAGCTTCTTGAAGGCTTATTTTGTGTATATATAAAATATAAAATAAATATATATTAATATAAATAATATATGTTTATAAATACTATAAATATTATTATTGGAAACTTAATAAGCATTAGGCACCTACTGTGCACCAAACATTACCAAGCATTAGGACATAGAGGGTATTCTATAAATCTTGTTGATTTTTATTTAATTTTATGATTACATTAATGACTTCCAAAAGATCTTTCTCTAATTTTATAATCTGCACACCTCAGAGAGTCTCAGTTTATTCATTCCAGAAAGTTATTGCTCAGTAACAAACATTTTACAGACCATAATTTTTTAATTAGCATGTATATTTAACAAACATTTTATTGGACTTCTACCAGATTATTCATAGAACATTAGAATTTTCTTTGTTTAGCAAACATTCCCTAAACTAAATTAGAGTTACAATCAGCTTCTCTTTAACGTTAATTTGTGTACGCATTTTAATGGTAATAACAATTTCTAATTTAGAATAGATAAAGGTTATCGAGAGTTCTAAAAAATGTTCGGATTTTATTGGTAAGCAGTGGGAAGTAGGAGGGACGTAGGGAAAGATAAGTTTCTCAGAAACATTTAATCCGCTGGAGGATCAATTTGGCTTTTCATGATTTTGATGTTGCATCATCATTCCAGAAGCAGTGGGCCCGTGCAGGTGGCTCAGATAGGGAACTTGCTGTGTGACATTAGGTAAGCCATTCAGGGCTGTTCCACATGCTAAGACTTTCCCTGTGATTGGCTCATAGGGAAACCTCAAGTTTAGATATTGAAGGCCCATAAAAGGTTGACTGTTTTCAAAAAGGACTGAATAAAAAGACTGAAGAAATGTTGAAAGGGTGTGTGGAGCTGTGAGCTTCTTCCCATTCCTGGAGAATCTTCAATCTAGAGAAGAGGAACTGCCTGACTTAAAAATGTAATAATGTAGAAATTCCTGTGTCCAAATGATAAACACATGTTTAGATTCACACGTGCACAAAATGAAGAGATGTCTGGGTTCAGTTGCTTATATCTGCGGCCTTAACTGCTCAGGAGGCTTAGATAGCAGCTTTATGTTAGCTTGCAAGATCAAGGCTAGCCTGAACAAAACATAGAGATCCTGGAGTGGGGGAGACAGAGACAGAGGCAGACAGACAGACAGAGAAGGGCAGAGACAGAGATAGAGACAGAAAGAGAATGAATGAATATGAATGAGATTTTCATAAGTATATAATATACTTTATATTTGAGTTCAACAAAATCCGAATAGAGGGAATAGAGGAAGCCTATTTGGGCCAACTGCCTTCAAGACCCATTACCCTCTTCCTCACAGCATCAGATAGGCTCAGACTCAAGACCCGGTATCCTGCACAGCCTTGTTCTCTCCAGACTGTTGCTCGGAGGCTCAAGCCTGCAGGAAGGTGATTTTCATGAACCAGCAGGTCTCTGCTGCCTTGGAGAATGGAAGCTCCTGAGCACTGAAAAATAGCAGTGCCACTTCCCTCTGGAGGAGAATAGGACTAAGGCATATGGATTCTCAGGTGGACATAGACCCATAGCCAGTAGCTCCACCCGTCATTCTCAGATGCTTCACTGGGTTCAGCAGATTTAGTTAGGTCTGTTTGTTCGCTTTCTTCCTGAGTCAGTCCATTAAACATATGTCATTTTTTTTTTTTCGTGAGGCTCTGTGCTTAATAGGATCTTTTGTGTTTTGCTCCAATAGGAGGTAATATGAACCCAGGTTTCGTGCTGGCGGTGATATTGTCTTTGCAGTGATTCTATGAAGCACATAGTGAGCCACATACTTTTACTGTAGTTTTCAAGATCAAGATACAAGACTCTAAGACCTAAGTAATTTCTTATGAGATCACTGAATTAGAGACAAAGCTATGATTCGCTGTAACGTATTGCACGCAACACACACGTGCGCACGCACAGACACGGACTCAGTAGGGTGGGAGACTGAGTAAAAGAGATGGATGTGGTTAAAGAAAACCTTCAAGTGTAAAGTAATTTGACCTAGGTGGTGAGTTGGAAGGGTCTTAGATGTGGTCTGCATAATTCCCCCTCTGAAGTCAACCACAATAACAGTTCACTTCTGGTTTTTCTGCCAACTGTGACTCCCTGGTCACTTCCTCTCCCAGCAGTTAGAGTCAAGTGTCCAATGTAAGGTGATGTAAGAGTTAAGAGCAGATCACAGTGTTAGAATTTACAGTGGGAAAAGTAAACTTTCTGTTGTTCACCCAATGCAGGGTGAGTTTTGGGGACATGGTGTGTGCTATTTTGCTTCAGAGAGGAGACAGACTTAGAGCATGAAGAAAAGCTATCATTGGGTGCCCATAAATACCAGATCATCTTAGAGAGTGGAATTGTTAGAAAATGCAAATGTGTGACTCAGTCTTAACATTCACTTCAACTTTCTCCCAAATCTGTTTTTTTTAATAAATGTTTTTTTCCCCCAACATTTGAAGAAGTTGGTCTGCAGTTGTTGAGATGGAAATAAAAAATAAATTTTCAGCAAAAAATTTAAAAGAATAGAGTTTTTTTGAGTGGAGATGCTGTTGTGCTAACTGAATTGTTTCTTAGGAATGAAACAGACTTTATTCTTTCTTCCACTGGACCCAAATTTTAGTGACAAATGGTTGGGAAAGAATTATTTGGTGCCATTTTGTAGTTATATATCGGAACATGATAAGGCTCATATATAATTTACAACTTCTGAAATGAGGCTACATGTGCAGTGTGCCTACTAAAAACAACTTTAGCTTACATCTTGTAGTGTATATATATCTGGACTTCTATAAGTAAGAGGTAGTTTTAGAGTGAAATGGAAAAATCTGGGGAGATCTGGTCAGTGGATATATGGTGATAAGTAGGAATCCCCTCAACATGTTAAAACTAAAATGCAGTGTGGTGTAAACACTGGAAGACATTTATCAGAAAACTCAAAATAGGAAAAGCTGGGACTATAAGCAAAACAATGTACTTCATCATTTTCATGTAGTACTCATGCTCATGACCTGGGAAGTTGCCAGATTATACCCTCTTTGATAGGACTATGGAAAGAACAATATTATGCTCCTAAGTCACTGAGTCTTGCTTTGATTCCAGAAAAAGAAATACAACAATTCATGGAAGATAAGAGTGAAGATTTTTAGAGTAGCCAGAGCTCTTTGACTGTCAGCAGAGCACTCTAGACAGAGTCCAGACTGCAAGAGTATTCCTTTCCAGTTTCTTTACTTCCATTTTGGGAAGTGGGGAACAACCTGGAGGACAGTCACTTGTCTTCTACTAAATGTATTTGTTAAGATTTCATGAAAGCTGTTCTAGACCAAAAAGAAAGAGACAGGAAATGGGATAAAATTCTGTTTTTATGCACTCTCAGTGTTAAATTTAAAGTGATAGGCATGAGGTAAAGGGCAGAAATGATTGAATTTCAAATAGAAATAGTATTGCATTTAACAGTAGAACCAGCGATTGCAGTGTGTTAATCACTTACCTGGAAGAACAGAATAACCCTGGTGAAAACCCAGCATCTGATGTTTCTGGTTAACCCAGACTCAATTCCTTTCTCGGTTCAAGTATGATGACAAGGTTTCAGGGAATCCCAATAGATGCTTATCTGTGACAGAACCATTATTGCTGCCCCACCTATCACATTTTATTGAAATTCACCATCAGGTTCATAATGCCTTTCCTAGGCAAGCAGAAAGGGCTGCTGAATTGGAGCCATCCATTCCTCTGGCATTTATCACAAGCCTTGTGCATTCACGGCCATGAACAGCACAATGAGGAAGACACAAAAGAAGTAGACAGAATCTCTGCTGCTGCTTAGGAGCATGTAATTTAGTTGGGGAGACAAAATTTAAATGCTAGAACCAATAAAAGAAGATTACAAAGCAACCTGCAAGTAAGTGTATAATAACATGGGGCAAATGACACAGATAAATGCAGGGGGCACAGGGAAGCAAGAGGATGAGCAAAACACATCAGCATCAGATTAGGCAGGAAAGGCATGTTGTCTAACAGTTGTGTATCACACACTTGTTTTTTCTGTAGCATTAACGAGAAAGAATGTGGGATAAGAAGCTCACATACACTACGTTGATCTCTTCCCCCTTATCTTAGAGGTCTTTCGGTCTATCACAGATGGAAATTAAATTGATCCAACAATTTGCTCTCCACAAAGCCATGTTGGTTTCTACCTAGTAATTTATGCTGTTCCTGGTGTTTGCAAATCGATTGCTATTATGGGATGTAGACAAATCTGGGCTGGGATCCAGTAGTTTGGGGGATTATTGGAGTGGATATGTGTACATGTGTGTGAAATCCTGGAAAAGCAGGCTCTCCTTTCTGTGTATTTTACTACTTAAATATAAACATATTTCTAGGTTTTAAAAAGCATGTTTAATTATCCTCAGATTGGATTTTTAGGGAATATATCTGCTTTATTTCATATTTCTACTAACTGACCTTGATATTTGCCTAACCTTCAAGCTATCTTTGTCTTTAGTCTGTAACCAGACCTTTTGTTTCAAAAAATTCTTGCTCTGTCTCAAGAATATTATAGACTAATACTTTTTTCTTTCCATTCGATATAGAAACATACATAGATGCTCACTTAGTTTGATGAATAAAATGTTCCTATCAAAAAGTTTGGGAAAGTATGCTTTATTTAAACACTCAACCTCATTGTTGTACCTTTAAAAACTTTTTTTAAAGAGTCCTTCTGAGGATTGTGAAATTCTTTCAAGACAAATTAAAAAGAAAACATTTTCTGTGATTTCTTTATAGATTCTGGACAATCAGGAAGTCCAAGCCACAATGATCCTGCCAAGAATCCTCCAGGTAAATATGTGTTCCAGGACGCTTGCAATCTGACATTGTTGGAGAACAAAGGTACCACTGTATAGATAAACACCCCATAATTGGTCAGGTGCCTATTTTGTTCTGGCAGGCAGGTATGATTGGGACAAGATGTGATTGTTTTTAGCCTCTTTGCAGTGGCAAATACTTCTATATTGGCGTCACTTACCTAATCACCAATGGTTTAATTTTTGTTGGTATTTCTTTGAACTTGAATTTGCTTGTATTTTAGATGTGTATCTTCTGGGGACTAAATGTCATTGTGGTTTGAAAAGCCAAAAAAAAAGTTTTTAATCCCCCCCCCCCACACACATACACACTCACAAGAGAAAGTAAAAATTTCCATACTTCTACGGTAGTTTATCAAATCTCATTTCTTAAAAGAGGAGTGGGGCTGGTTGTTGGCTGTGCTTTTGCTGGAGGATTTTTTGCAACAGTTTTTCTTCCATCAGGTTTTTATTGGATCCCTAGAATCAGAACAATGAAGGAGGGTTTGCTCAGGTTCAGAGCATGTCAGGTTCCCTGTTTGTTGTCAGAAGTTGTTCCAGATCTGAAAATGGGCTGTTACAACTTGGCCATATTCATAGTTTTGTTGCTCCAAAATGTGAACATACAGCATTTTACTTTTGATTTATGCTTTTTTCCACAGGGAAAATAATATAAAGCTAGTGTAAGAAAGGACTTCTAATTTTTGAATGCAAGAATTTTAATTATATCTGTGACTTTGGTAAAATACTGTATTCTATAAAAAAGGAAAAGAAAACAAAAAATAAACAAAACGCAAAGCAGCCAAACATGTCCTCTCCCTCCCCATATAATCTCAGCTGTCATTTCAAGGAAAATAAACCACAAAGTCTACAAAACAGCATAGATGTAAATTTCCTCAGGTGACTTAATTTTAGATACTTAATTGTTTGCTCCTCCCTGTCATAATGATTGTCTACTGTGAAGTCAAAATATCTGAACAACCTCAAAATTTCATGAAAATATATTAAAACAATATTCTCTTGTAAAAATTTTAGAAAGTACAAGTACAAGATATGAAATCCAAAAGGAATTTATTCATTTCTCTGAGTCTTGCTGCATTTTGTCTTTTATGTTATTCTTAGCTAACCTAACCTAAAGGTTACTTCTTACCTTATTAAATCTTAACCCTAAGGAAAGGGGAAAAAAAAAGATGAGAAAAGAAGGAGAAAATGGAAACAAAGATTTTCTAAGTCAGGAGAGGAACAGAATTTGAAGGGAGGGTTGGGAATGGGGAAAAAAAGAATCAAGTTATGTTGTGCACAAGTACAAATTCTCTATAATAAATGTGATCAAGATGTATACCTAAAATATACCAATAAACTTCATAAATTAAAAAAAGAATTATCTTTTTGCAGATACTTAGTAATGTATGCATATTGCTTGATAAAAGTGCTATGTACTTCAAAGATAAAAAATTTTAATGACATATATATTTAAAATACATATCAAGTTGATTTTTATTTACCCACAAATTGATATTGTCGCGAACTGAGAACAAAATAAACCAAAATCCTGAACAGCTTTAAGTGTAATTTTGTTACATTTATTATTTTATTTCTGTGCAGATTAGATTTATGTCACTTTGTTTTCCAAAATGTCTCTTAGCTTTAAAGTGAATTGTATCCAAACATTATTTAAAAAGTCTCCTCAGTCATCTTACAATGAATGGGATGAAAAAAAAAAAAAAAACCTTTGGTAGAAAAGTTGATAAGTACTATAAGTCAGGCTACACAAAGGCTATATTCTTAGCATTTGAATGACAGCTTGATTGAAATTAATAAAGCAGTTATTGTTGGAAAGCAATTCTGAACATGTACAGAAGGAATTATGTTCACCTAAAAGAGTTCTTTACTTGAGCTGGGTAAAAAACATTTGTGTAGTTATTTACTGTCAGAATCTGATATTTATTGTTTTTCAAAAGCTTTGGTTAAATGTAACATTAATATAGCATTTCATAGTTTTTCTGTTTTCATATAATATGGCAAACAAAGAGCAAAGTAGGAAACCTCTATTTTTTGAGGTTTTGAAGTTTTCTTGAAAATAAAAGTTTTTTGAGGTTTGTGTCCAGAAACTGAGATGCCGCTGAAACTGTTGTATGTCTATAATCTCAGCACTCTGGGAGGCTTACATGGGAGGGCCACAAGTTCAAGCCCAAAGATGGTAACTTATGTAGAGTCTCATTGGAAGCAAGCAAACAAAATCAATACAAACTGTCATAGATAAAACGCTTTTATGGTTTCTCAAAAAATGTATATATACAAATTCTTTGTTACTAGTTTTAAAAACTAAATGAAATAGAATATAAGAAAATTCAATATCAAAATGAGATAGGTTATAATTGGAATTTTCTTTGGTCATTCAGAAGCAGTCCATCATTTTAATGTGAGTTGAGATCATCATATTATAGATTTAGCCATTATTAAGGATTCTTTTTTTATGAAAGAATTTATTCTGTGCAACCTTGAAATAAACCATGCTACTAAGAATACAGAATTAAAAAATTTAAATGTCAAAAATCAGAACTTATTAAGGTTTTTGTTTATAGTGAGTTGAGAAAATTATATTTATTATTAAAATCTCTTTTATAAGCATCTTTGATATTTTGGAGCATAATTTATCTTTGGGAGACCACTTCACCTTTTTATTTTGGCCTTGGTTAAAACATACAATCTCTGGAGTTAAGCTTTGGTGTCTCAAGAAAGCAGAATCCATTTATGGGTAAATCTAGTGTAGTGTGCCAAATAGTGAGAAAATGGAATCATTCTATTGCTTGTTACTAGAAAAAGAAGCAAACCTTCTGAGAAAGATCATCTTGGCTACTCACATTTTCTTATCTCTGGTAGTTTTCTACCGGGAGATGTAAACCCCATGAACATAGCCACCATGCATTCTTGTTTATTTCCCAACAGTGGGAAAATATAGCAAATATTGATGTCCTTTTGAAGATACTGTATTTGCTCTTTGAAATCTGCTCCTGACTGTTGACATCTAACCATCCTGTAAGTACAGATGTGTTTGTCTGTGGTTAAACTAGGAGAACCTTGGCTGCTCTTCAGTGTCAGACCTAGCTGCCTATCTGAGAGACTACTTCCTTGCTTCCTCAGAGTTTCTGAAGGATGAGCTTATAGAATTTTAAACTAGATATCAGTGTCTACAGATAGGCCTTTAAAAACAAAACAAAACAAAAACAAGCAAACAGAAACCTTATGTTTTTCATTGCAATTAGCATATAAGCACAGTTAGACAAAACAGTACATTTTTAGGAAGAGATATGGTTGTTTTTTTTTTTCAAAAAACATTTAAGTAATTTCTTGGTATGTATTATTTATAAATGCATTGAAAATCTTTTTATTTTTTCTTACCTGGCAGAAATTGGCAAAATAATCTTCTCAGGGCTAAGATGGCACCCGAAGACATGCCATTGTTATTTTGGTCAGTTGTACTAGGACACTTTATTTTTAAAACGGTGCACATTGTCCTTGCTTATGATGGAGTCAGAAGTTGTAATTTATTTTGTTACTTCTTTTTTAATATCTAGTGAATACTGTATCTTCTAAGCAATAAAACTAAGAGTTCTCTCAATTATAGTAAAAAACTATGGTGGATTAACAAGGATAAATCATTGTTTTAGTCATTAACTCAGACCTAATTTTATTTCCAGTAATTCAAAGCTATATTGCTACTTTTAGGAAATGTGTGATTTGAGGATTATAATCTTCTAAGAGTAGTTTTGATTTACTTTTATTATTTAGTGTGTCTGCATCCCTTGGGCTATAATCTTTTAGATTTTCCAAACTGGGTTATCTACATAATGATAGAATGGGAACTATCTAAGGAAAACAAGGTGACCAAGATGTCAGAATTTTGGCTCAGTCAAATCTGAGATGATATCTTATTTTGGAGTTCAGAAAGACTACAGTTTTGACCAGTAATGTAACAGAGAAATAATGAATACTAGACCAGCCATTGCAGGTCTTTATAAAATAAAATTCTGTGACATTTCATGTTTCATTAACTAGAACTTTCTGACCTGGAATGACATGGATTTAACATCTCTTCTTTTTACAGGTTTGTAGGGTGTGGGTGGTTTTGTGTGTTGACATTTTCATGTAATCCAGCAAAACTTCTGGGAAGCATTAAGACCATAGGGTGTAGTTCAAATAAACCACCTTGTATCCTCTCTGGAACAAGGATAGAACTAAGTAAATAGTTAAACAAATTAAACAGGAAGGACCTATTAGCTATAGAAATATGCTTGTTTTAGATTTAAATTCCTTAAATTATAAACCTTTTGAGATTGATCTCTCCCCAACTTTACAGATACTGAAGTTAAAATCAACAGGAGTGTCGTGCAACTAATAAAAATTGACTAAATAATGATTTTAAAAACCTAGCTCAACATCTGCAGTAGTAATCATCTGTTGGATCCATATTGGCTTAACTTTTCACTTTATTTTTTCAAATCTTGAACTTGGGATTAACTTAATACTTTCTAGTTACTGAAACAATAATTTTCTTTGCTGTTTGTATATCAAGGCAGATAAATTTGCTCAAACCCTTATAGGGCATGTTTTAGTTTAGAATATTTTGGTTAAAGTAAAAGAAACAAGGATATTTACTCTGACTTTTAAAATCATATGCCGTTCACTCATAAATTAATAAGTTTATATCTATTCCTTATTTTGTCCTAATTTATCTACCAGAATCAAGATTTTTTAAATGGGAGAAAATGTATTATATAATGATACTGAGAAGTAATTTTAAACTTTGATACTAGACCATATTCAACAAACAATATTACAGCTTTCTATTCATAAAAGTGTAAACAGAAGGACGTTGAAAGGATTGACTAAAAATGATTCAGATCTGACATCATAGTAATTTAAGAACTATGTACCAGTCAAAAATCAAAGAACTTTTTCTAAACATTTGTTTCACAAACTTTCCTTTTTTCT